GCCGTCCGTCCCCGTCGGGGCTCCGAGGGTCCCCGAGCCGTCCGCGGCTCGGCCATGGCGGGCGCCAGGCCCGGCGTCCACGCGCTGCAGCTGGAGCCGCCCACCGTGGTGGAGACCCTGCGGCGCGGGAGTAAGTTCATCAAATGGGACGAGGTGAGTGCGGCGGGACCCCCGCGCCGCCCGGGTTCCGGGGCGCCCGGGGCCGGGGATCCTCGCTCCAGCCCCGGTTCCTCGCGGCGCCCCCCCCCATCGCCGCTCAGGGGCGCTCCGGAAACTTGTCCCCAGTCGTCCCGGTAAGGAAAGACTTTGTCCCCCCCAGCCCCGTCCCTCGGCTCTGATAAACTGGCCTCTCCACTCCTTGGCGCGAGACTTTGAACCCCAATAAACCCGTTCCCCCCTCCTTTCCAACGCCTTCACCCACCCCTCCCTGATCAGACCGGTTCTGATTCCCGATCGATCCCGGTCAGGTCCGCTGACCCTAGTGGGGCGCTGGACTCCCCAGCCGGCTCAGGGACCCTCGTCCCGGGTGGGAGCCGCGGCCCCCCCTTCTCCCAGTGCTGTGGCCTGAACCGTCCTCTTCCATTCATCACTTCTCACCCTCTCCGGCCGGCACCCCTGCACCCTGCTTCTGACTCAGGTGGGAGCACCAAGTCACCCCCTAGTGGAGACTGCCCCCCCAAGTTCCTCTACCTCAGGGAACTTTGCTCCCCACTCCTTAGCTTCAGGACTTCAAACCCCAATAAGTCCTACCCCCCCTTTTCTCCTTGCTCTGCCCCCTTGAACTTCCAGATGTCCTGATGCCCAGATGCCCACCTGCGGCTCCCATCCCGATCCTGGGCCCCACCCACGTTTTCATACAGTCCCCTCCTCTGCCCCTGGGGCCCCTCCTCCCCTGGGCCTCCACCCGGCGGGGCGGCCGAACTGCCTGGCTGTTCCTTCCCAGTCAGGCCACAGGCCTGGAAGACGCTGGGTTCCTTTCCGGCTGGGTGGGGCAGGCGTGGGAGCTGGAGGGAGGGACTGGGGGCGTGGCCTGAGTGGCAGGTGTGCGGGCTGGGGGGTGCCTAGGAATCACGGGTGCCAAGGAGCCCCCCGTTTCTCCTAGGCCGGCCTGAAGGGAAAAGTTTCTTCTTTTCCTTCCAGTGTGATAAACCCAAATAAGGAAGTGGGAGCCAGGAGAGGCCCTGGGGTGGGGTGGGGGTGCTGATCAGGACTTGAGACCCGAGAGCCAGGGCCTGCTGTCTTTGGTGGCCAGACCCCTGGGGAGAGACCATGGAGGCCCTGGGGGTAGTATCCATAAAACTGCCCCCCCAATCGCACTACTGGGGGCCCTCAGCAAGCATGGGGAAGGGTTGGGCATCCCCAGGAGGAGTTGGGGCTCCCTGGGGGAGGACTATGCATCCCTAACTAAAGGTTTGGGGTCCTCCTGTCTCCTCTCCTCTGATCAGTTTTGCCTTCTCCTGAAAGCTGAGCCTGCAGTGGGCGGGGCTGGTGTAATCCCCATTCTCCAGAAGAGGAAACTGAGGTCTGGAATGTGGTTCTTAGCCTGGTCCCACTGTTGGGGTTGTGGCTGAGGTCAGGAGCTGGACTCCTGCAGGTGGGGCCTCGGCTCCCACTGCACAGATCACTGCACAGAACTCTGTTGTCTACCACCCCTGGCTCTCTCCCCCTTTGTTGTTGTGTGAGAGAACGTCTTGCTATGCTGCAGCCTCTGACTTTTCCTCCTCTTGTTTTAGCCTCCTAAGCATTAGGATCACTCGCATGCCATGCCACACCTGGCTCTGGCTCCTCTTTTTGACCTTTGGCCAGCCAGAGTCACTCTTTGCCTCAGTTTCCTCCTGTGTAGAATGGGATGACAACAGGACACACCTCTCGGGTGGTTAGCACACAGGATGGAGCCATGGGGTCAGAAGCCTTTGTATGTTGAATGGCCTCTCACCCGAGGTGGGGTCCTCTTCTGGATGGAAGAGATGTCCCTGGCCACTTGGACACCCCAGTCCCCACTGATCCTCTGCCCTAGCTGCCAGGGGGTCACAGATCAGTTTAGGGGAAGAAGGTGTGTATTGCCCAGTCCTTCTGGGTACCGTGGCTTTTGTAAGATGCAGTTAGGACCAGAGTCTGTGAGGGTCCCCTGAGGTGCAGGGCAGATTAGGCGTGACTGGCCTGTCATTGTCAGGTCCTAAGGGGACCTGACAATGGAGGGCAGACTTCCAGATCCCAGTTGCATTTTACAAACAATCTGAAAGAGACCAGCGCCCTCAGTCCTTGTGTGGACACTGAGATGGGGTAGGGGTGGGGGAATCACTACAGGTAAAAAAGGAACTTTTTTTTGTATATGTATGCCAGTCCTAGAGTTTGAACTGTGGCCCTGGCCGTTGTCCCTGGCTTTCTTTTGCTCAAGGTTCGTACTCGATTACCTGAGTCTCTGCTCCACTTCTGGCTTTTTGGTGGTTGATTGGAGATTAGAGTCTCATAGACTTTCCTGCCCCGGCTGGCTTTGAACAGCGATCCTCAGGCCTCAGCCTCCTGAGTAGCGACCATTACAGGCGTGAGCCACCCGGGATAGGAACAAATACTTTACCATAGATAGTAATGAGGGTGGCAGAGCTGGGAGCTGGGGAAAAGGTGGTGAGTGGCCCATGTGACAGAATCTTAGGACAGAGGAGGTGAGGCTGGGAGGGACCTTGGGGCCAGAACACTGAAGGTCACTCTGAGGACGAGGCCTTGTCCTGAGGAGGACCTGTAGGCCAGATGAGATTGCCTTTTGGCTCATGGGTGGACTACTAGTGGGGGTCCAGGGGCCAAGGCTGCCTATCCAAGCCTTTTCCTCCTGAGCCCTGTTGTCCTGTACTGTCCCCAGGAGGCCTCCAGTCGGAACCTGGTGACCCTGCGTGTGGACCCCAATGGCTTCTTTTTATACTGGACAGGACCCAACATGGTGAGAGTGGTTGCCGGTGCAGCTTGCACAACAGGGACCTGGGCCCCTGCTGCAGACCCTTGCCCTGCCCTCCTCCTGCCCTGGGGGGGGATGGGGGGGGAAGCTGCTGGCCAGAGCTCTCCCAGGCTCCCCAGACAGGAAGTGCTATGGGTGGGGGCTGAGTCTGGGGCCACAGCCAGGGGCTGGCCACTCCCCAGCCTGGATGGAGAGCTGGGAGGGGGGAGGCTCCTACTCTTCACCTGCAGCTTCTCAGAACCCCCGTATTGGCTGCTGTGTTCCCCAGGAGGTGGACACACTGGACATTAGTTCAATCAGGGACACTCGGACGGGCCGCTATGCCCGCCTGCCCAAGGTGAGCGATGGGACCTGGCGCTGGGGGGGGGAGCAAGGCAGTGGGGGGACAGGACACCCACCCTACCTCATCCCTGCTCTCACCACCCAGGACCCCAAGATTCGGGAAGTGCTGGGCTTTGGGGGCCCAGATGCCCGGCTGGAGGAGAAGCTGATGACTGTGGTGGCCGGGCCTGACCCGGTGAACACCACTTTCTTGAACTTCATGGCGGTGCAGGATGACACAGTGAAGGTTGGCCTGGGCCGGGGGAATCACTTACTGCCTCATTTGCTGATGCTGCCTTCTAGGCTGTTCTCTGACTTACTGGGAAGCAAACCTGGTTCTGGGTGAGGGTTCTGGCAGCCCCGCGGTCCCCTCTTCACCCCCCCCTGTGTACTGGATCCCAGGTCTGGTCTGAGGAGCTGTTTAAGCTGGCTATGAACATCCTGGCTCAGAACGCCTCTCGGAATACCTTCCTGCGTAAAGCGTGAGCTTCTGACCGCCCTACCGTGGGGGACGGTGGGGATTCAAGGGGTTCTACCCCATCTGTGACCCCCACACCCGCCTCCCCAGATACACAAAACTAAAGCTGCAGGTGAACCAGGATGGACGGATTCCAGTCAAGAAGTGAGTTTCCCTTTGCCCTTAGCAGCTCCTCTCCGGCCCTGACCTTTGACCTCCCCATTGACCCTGACCCCTCCCACCCACCTCAGCATCCTGAAGATGTTCTCAGCGGACAAGAAGCGGGTGGAGACAGCGCTGGAATCCTGTGGTCTCAATTTCAACCGGGTGTGTAGGGCAGGGACTGGGGGCAGGGATGGCAGGGTGGCCTGGGGGTCCACATTTCTCTGGGTCTTGCTGCTGCCCCCAGGTTCTTACTCCACGCTTCTCACCCCCAGAGTGAGTCCATCCGGCCTGATGAGTTTTCCTTGGAAATCTTCGAGCGGTTCCTGAACAAGCTGTGTCTGCGGCCAGACATTGACAAGATCCTGCTGGAGATGTGAGGCAGCCCCCTGCCCTGGCCTCCCATGGCTGGCCTCAGCCTAGTCAGCCTCTAACTCAGCAAGAGGGGGTGCTGGCTGCAAGTCCCCCAGCGCCGAGGGGAAAGAAGGAGACCTGCTGAGATGTGCCCACACTCAGAGCCGTGGTCTCCAGCTCTGTGAAGGGCAGCCCTAGACCCTCTTTGCCAGGGTGGTTTCCTCAGCCCACCCAGCAGATGAGAACCCAGGGGTCCAGGGGCATTTTGGGACTTTCCTGAGCCCATGCAGCAGGCAGGCTGGAGCTGAGGGTGGGCAATAGGGTGGGTGTTTAGCTGTTTCCAAAGCTAAAGTCCATGCCAGCCTTATCTGCTGCTCTAATACTGGGTGGCCAGGGGGGTGCCGATAGTGAACTTGGGGCCCAGAGGGGATAGCGATTTGCCCTGAGTACCATCTGCAGAGGCCCCGGGCCTTGGCCTTCCTCTCCCAGGGTGAGAATGGGGTGTGGGCGTGGCCTGACGTGGCATCTGGCCCTCCTTCAGAGGTGCCAAGGGCAAGCCATACCTGACCCTGGAGCAGCTCATGGACTTCATCAACCAGAAGCAAAGGGACCCGAGACTGAATGAGGTTCTCTACCCGCCCCTGCGGCCCTCACAGGCCCGGCTGCTCATCGAGAAGTATGAACCTAACCAGCAATTCCTGGAGCGCGGTGAGCGCTGCGGGGCTGGGGGGTAGGGATGGGCAGGAAAGGGCCTAGCTGACCTGTTCGTGCCCCCACCCCAGACCAGATGTCTATGGAGGGTTTCAGCCGCTACCTGGGTGGGGAGGAGAACGGCATCTTGCCGCTGGAGGCCCTGGATCTGAGCATGGACATGACCCAGCCGCTGAGCTCCTACTTCATCAACTCCTCTCACAACACCTACCTCACAGGTGGGCGCAGGGGCGTGGTGCCCTCAATCTCTCCGCCCTAGAGTCTCTGTGTTACCTCCTTTTGGGGGCATGGTTCTTCCAGCTCATTGTTTGCATTTATTGGCCGGTGTTGGGGAAGTGGAGGGGGGAGCAGTCCGTCTGGAGAGCGAGTGTCTCCATGGGCCATGTCCTAGGGACACGGGGCGAGAGAAGATGCCTCAGGATGGGGCTCAGCCCATCACAGCTGGGGGCCCGGAGGAACAGCCTTTTTGGACGTCTGGCCATGGATTGCTTGTTGGTTTTAAGAGGCAGAACGAGGTGGAATGCTGGTAGCTCACTCCTGTAACCCTAGCTGCTCAAGAGGCTGAGATCTGAAGGTGGCGGTTCAGAGCCAGCCTAGGCAAACAAATCCGAGAGACTCATCTTCAGCTAACCAGCAGAAAGCTGGAGGGGGGCGAGGGGGCCCCGGGCGGGGGCAGGGGCAGGGGCGTGGAGGGGTGTAGAGCGGAGGCAGGGACAAAGAAGGCCTCTGGACTGCCTCCGAGGGGGAGAGCATTTTGGAAATGTAAATCAGGGAAGAGAAGGCATGTGACCTGGTGTCTTCTAGAAGGATGCCAGGTGCTCGGTGGGGAGTAGACTGGAGGTAGGGAGGGGGCCCTCAAACCCCAGCCATGGGGTGGTAAAGCTGTTCCAGGGTCGAGGAGGTCTAAGTGGAGACAGGGAGGTGTTGGTGAGGTACTGGGCAGCTATGAGGGTGGGCAGGAGACCCTCCATTCAGGCTGGTGGGGAGGTGGGAGCTGAGTGCTTTAGTTGAGAGAAGATGAACCCCAGAAGAGGAAGGAACGTGGCTACAAGCACTGGCAGATGTCTGCCAAAGTGCCGTCTAGGGAGGACACAAGGCTAGGAGGCGGGACGGGGCGGGACGGAGGCCCTGTCCCAGAGGCTCCTGGGAGAAATATTACGGGCATACAGTGAGAGGCGGGAGGCGGGACTGTGTGTCTCCAGCTAGCCCCCCCCCCCCCCCCCCCCGGGCCTGGCCCTGTGGTGATGGTGATGTGGCTCTGCCCGCAGCGGGGCAGCTGGCTGGGACCTCGTCGGTGGAGATGTACCGCCAGGCGCTGCTGTGGGGCTGCCGCTGTGTGGAGCTGGACGTGTGGAAGGGGCGGCCCCCCGAAGAGGAGCCCTTCATCACCCATGGCTTCACCATGACCACCGAGGTGCCCCTGCGAGACGTGCTGGAGGCCATCGCCGAAACCGCCTTCAAGACCTCGCCCTACCCCGTCATTCTCTCCTTCGAGAACCACGTGGACTCGTGAGTGGGCCCCGTCTGCCCAGAACCTCCATACTGGGTGGGGGGCCTAACGCAGCCCTCCCCCCCCATGCTCTCTTGGATGACCTCTGACCTCTGGCCTTGGACCCTGCAGGGCGAAGCAGCAGGCCAAGATGGCCGAGTACTGTCGCTCCATCTTTGGGGACGCGTTGCTCATTGACCCCCTGGACAAGTACCCGGTATAGGGACTCAGTGCTTGGGTGGGGCGCTCAGGGCAGGGGAGTGGGGTTCCTCAGCAGGTCCCAACCTGTCTACTCCTGTCCAGCTGGCCCCGGGGGTCCCCCTGCCCAGCCCCCAAGACCTGATGGGCCGCATCCTGGTGAAGAACAAGAAGCGACACCGGCCCAGCACCGGTGTCCCGGGCAGCTCCGTGCGCAAGCGGCCGCTGGAGCAGAGCAACTCGGCACTGAGCGAAGGCTCTGCTGCCACCGAGCCCTCCTCGCCCCAGCTCGGTATGGCCAGGGCTCCGCTGTGACCTTCCCCAGCCTCCAGCCTGCACTGGGCATGACCTCTCACCCCTGACTCCCAGCACACAGATCAGGAAGCCCCATTTGAGCTTGGCTCCATCCAACTCGAAACTCCTTGACCTTGTTTTCCCTTTGCCCAAAGCCTCCTTCCCCGCCCTGGGCAGGGATCTGAGTTCTGACTTCTGACCTCAGTGCACCACACCCCACACTCTGGGTGGAATCTTCAAGTCCCTGAGCAGTTCCTTGACTCTGACACACTCTACCCACCCAAGGCGTTTTAATTTCAGCTCTCTCTCTTTTCTTTCTTTCTTTTTTTTTTGTTGGTCGTGGGGCTTGAAGTCGGCCTGGGCACTGTCCCTGAGTTCTTTTGTTGAAGGCTAGCATTCTACCACTTTGAGCCACAGCACCACTTCCGGTTTTCTGGTGGTTAGTTGGGGATAAGAGTCTCATGGAGGGCTGGGAAGGTGGCTCAGTGGTAGAGCGCTTGCCTTGCATGCTTGAGGCCCTGGGTTTGATTCCTGAGCACCACATAAGCAGAAAAAAAAAAAGCTGGAAGTGGCACTGTGGCTCAAGTGGTAGAGCGCTAGCCTTGAGCTGAAGAGCTGAGGGACAGCGCCTAGGCCCAGAGTTCAGGCCCCACGACCGGGCCCCCAAAAACGTCTCATGGACTTTCCTGCCTGGGCTGGCTTTGAACCATGATCCTCAGCTCTCAGCCTCCTGAGTAGGTAGGATGACAGGCGTGAGCCACCTGCACCAGCTTTTGTCCTACCACTGTGGTGGTCCCTTTTCCATGACCGACCTCTGCTCACCTCGTGTAGTCTCCTATTGGGAATGGCTCTGCCTGACCGTGAATCTCATCCTGCCCACAGTTACCCTGATGTTGCTGTCAAAGCCACTGTGCCCCTGTTCTTTGAGCCACCCTCCTGCCTCCCTGCTCTATAGAACTCAGATTCTTACCTTTGACTTGTGACCCCTGAACTACCACTGATGTTAATGCTATCCAATTCTGATCCCTATCTCTTCCCAAGCCATCCTAAATGTTCCCCTGGCCCCCCAAACCCTGGGGCTTTTTTCCTTTGGGATTTAATGTGTGATCCTAACCCCTGACGTGTTGTGATCCCCCCCCGTTTTAGGGTCCCCCAGCTCTGACAGCTGCCCAGGCCTGAGCAATGGGGAAGAGATGGGGCTGGAGAAGCCCAGACTGGAGCCCCAGAAGTCCCTAGGTGAGGAGAGCCTGCCCCGGGGCCCTGATGTTCTTGGACCTGCAGACCGTGAAGATGACGAGGAAGAGGAAGAAGAGGAGGAATCAACAGACCCCAAAAAGCCAACCACAGATGAGGTCAGAACCACAAGCAAGTTCATGGAGGGGAGCTGAGCACCACTAGGGGTCAGGCATGGTGCTGGGCACTGGGTCTGGCTGTGGACGAGGTAGATGTTACCCTACCCTCCATGTTTGGCCTGTGTATAGGAGACTGCAAGAAACAAGCATGGAGAATAGCACCTGCCTAGAAAGCTTAAGGATCTTGAGTTCAAACTTCAGTCCTACCAAAAATAAATAAGCAGACAGGAAAATAAACATTGATGCGCACGATGTAGGTCATGGAGGGGCGAGTTAGGGCATAGAACTGGAGGAGAGGGCAGGGAGAATGGAGTAGACCAAGCAGAGGAAGTAGGAGTAGCATGTGCTAAGGCCCCGAGGTAGGGCCAGAGTACAGGAGGAAGAGGCTGGTGAGGGAGCGTCTTTGGCCGCTGACTGTGTTGTGGGGCTGCAGGGCACAGCCAGCAGTGAGGTGAATGCCACTGAGGAGATGTCGACTCTTGTGAACTACATTGAACCTGTCAAGTTCAAGTCCTTCGAGGCTGCTCGCAGTGAGTGTGGCTGGGTGACTGGCAGGGCTGGCCCTGTGGAGTCCTGCCAGGCTTCACACCTTCCTTCTGCCCACGCCAGAGAGGAACAAGTGCTTTGAGATGTCGTCCTTTGTGGAGACCAAGGCCATGGAGCAGCTGACCAAGAGCCCCCTGGAGTTTGTGGAGTATCTTTTCCAGTCGCTGGGGGCCGGGGTGGGGGCCTGGAGCCTCTGGGGTTCTGAGCCCACTTAAGCCATTTGCAGAAGGGCCTGCCCTGCAGAACCTGGCCCCAGGCTTGGTCCGGGTTTGCATGCCTTACATGCCTGGTTAGATGGAGGGGCAGAGGGATGGAGGCCGGGCTCGTGGTGGGAGTAGAGGCCCGCAGAGGGAAGGCACTGGCACCCGCGTGGCCCTGACTGCCAACTCCAGATACAACAAGCAGCAGCTGAGCCGCATCTACCCCAAGGGCACCCGGGTAGACTCGTCCAACTACATGCCCCAGCTCTTCTGGAACGTGGGCTGCCAGCTTGTTGCGCTCAACTTCCAGACCCTGGGTGAGCCCGGGCCCCTGTCTTCCTGTCTTCCCGACGTCTCTGGTTTTGACGTGACTGGGGATTGAGCTCAGAGCCTTCACGCTAGCTCAGCAACCAGAGTCACACCCCCAAAGGCCTTTTGTGTTGCTTTTGCCCAAGGCTGGCCTCAGACCACAATCCTCTTGCCTTTGCCTCTCCAGTAGCTGGGATTATAGGCATGTACCACCATACCTGGCATTATTCTACTGACCTCTTTATTCTATTTAATCCCAGATCCTAAATCCAAACCCAGATCCAGACTGACCCTGAATCTAGGCCCTTGAACCATTTGAGTCTACCCTGACTCTGGGCCTTGGACTCTACCTGACCCCTGATGATTCTTGGCTCACCCAGTGCATAGCACTGTCCTACCTGACCCCTGACCTCACTTGGCCCCTGATTGACCTTTGCCCTGCTCATGTCACCTCCAGACGTGCCCATGCAGCTCAACGCAGGTGTGTTTGAGTACAATGGGCGAAGTGGGTACTTGCTCAAGCCCGAGTTCATGAGGCGGCCGGACAAGACCTTCGACCCCTTCACCGAGGTCATCGTGGATGGCATTGTGGCCAATGCCCTGCGGGTCAAGGTGGGGCCTGGGAGGGCACAGGCCAGGGCCGTCCCCAGCCAGGGGCATCCTCAGGGTGAGACGGAGCGCCTCACCCACCTTGGACGCCCCCAGGTGATCTCGGGGCAGTTCCTGTCCGACAGGAAGGTGGGCATCTACGTGGAGGTGGACATGTTTGGTCTCCCAGTGGACACGCGGCGCAAATACCGCACACGGACCTCACAGGGGAACTCATTCAACCCCGTGTGGGACGAGGAGCCCTTCGACTTCCCCAAGGTGAGCGGGCGCTGCGCCCCATGGCCAAGCTGCTGGGCTTCTTGAGTGGGAAGCAGGAGGCAGGGACATCGTGTGTCCCAGCGGTAGGCCTGGCTTTCCTGCCTCTTCTGAGAAGGAGAGACCACAAGGGAGAAAGTGGGGGTTCCTGCTGCTCCCCACAGTGAGGAGTCCCAGTCCCAAGGCAGGATGTGCTTGCTGGGCACCGCAGCCCCAAGCTCCCTCCTCCACCTCCATGGTCCCACACAGGCCAGGCTAACACTCACAGCCTGGTCCACAACCAAGAAATGTTTACCAGATTCACACATACACACACATACACACACACACATTAGGTGCCAGTCCTTGGGCTTAAACTCAGGCCCTGAGTGCTGTCTCTGAGCTTTGGCTCAAGGCTGGTGCCCTACCACTTGAGCCACAGCACCACTTTTTTTTTCTTTTGCTGGTTAATTGGAAATAAGAGTTTTACAGACTTTCCTACATGAGCTGGCTTCCAACCATGATCCTCCGATCGCAGCCTCCTGTGTAACTAGGATTACAGGCATGAGCCACCAGTACCCCGCTCACTTCTAGCTCTTTGCTGGCTAGTTAAGAGATGAGTTTCATAGACCTTCCTGCCCGGACTGGCATGGAACTGCGATCCTCAGACCGCAGCCTCCTGAGTGGCTAGGATTACGGGCATGTGAGCCGCTCTAAAGTTGCTGAGGTGGTAGGTCAGGTGAGGACCTGACCTGTGCTACGGTGGCCCTGAGGGTTCAGTCTGCCTGTGCTTGTCTCAGGACCTGGTGACCACTGCCCTCTATTGGGCTGTGGAGGTGGGGGTCAGCCAGCCGCGTGGGGCCAACAGTGGCCCACAGTTAGCATGGGTCAGCCTGCCTGTGCCTGTGCCGAGGCCTTGGTGGCTGTGGCCTGGTGGCCCCTGTGGCTGTAGCTCCTTCCGTGACTCGGCACCGTCTGGGCCCCCAGGTAGTGCTGCCCACTCTGGCTTCACTTCGTGTGGCAGCATTTGAGGAAGGTGGCAGATTCGTGGGGCACCGGGTCTTGCCTGTGGCTGCGATCCGCTCAGGTGAGGCTGTGGGTGCTCTCATTCAGGGCGGGGTGGGGGGTGGAGGGTGTCCAGGAACCTGGCTGGGCTCAGCTGACCTTGCCTCTACCCACCCAGGGTACCACTATGTCTGCCTGCGAAACGAAGCCAACCAGCCGCTCTGCCTGCCAGCCCTGCTCATCTACACTGAGGCCTCGGACTACATCCCCGACGACCACCAGGGTGAGCGGGGCTGGGTAGGCTGGCGAGGGCTGTCCCTGAGGGAGGCTGAGACCACTGGCCCTAGTTCAAGATGGTAACCAGGGGCTGGGAAGTTGGCTCAGTGGTAGAGCGCTTGCCTCGCATGCATGAGGCCCTGGGTTCAATTCCTCAGCACCACATAAGCAGAAAAAGCTGGAAGTGGCGCTGTGGCTCAAGTGGTAGTGTTGGCCTTGAGCTGAAGAGCTGAGGGACAGCACACAGGCCAGAGTTCAGGCCCCACAACCAACCAAAAAAAAAAAAAAAAAAAGATGGTAACCAGGCAGTGTCTGGGTTTCATTGAAGCCAAAGCCCTGGCGGGCGGGATGGGGGGAGGGTGAGGGTGCTGGGTCTGGGCCCATCTCCTGTGCTCTGCTCTCCCAGACTATGCAGAGGCCCTGATCAACCCCATCAAACATGTCAGCCTGATGGACCAGCGGGCCAAGCAGCTGGCCGCGCTCATTGGGGAGAGCGAGGTGAGCGCATGTGCATGGGATACACCTAGCAAGGCTTCCTGGGGACTGGGGGCATCACTGAGGTAGGCTAGGGGTACGTGGGGTGGGAAAGGTGGTCTCATCTGTGTCATCCTGGCTGCCCAGCCCAGGTCTCTGGCTGCCTTCCCCAAGCTCAGCTCTTCAGTGTCTACTGCAAATTCCAAAACTTCATGTATTCATCACCTATCCTCTGCCTGGAGGGCCTCTTCCCTGTTCCTGGAGTCTCTCATTCAACCAGAAAATGAAGCCAAAGGAATGCTCGAGGGCCCAGCTCCTCCCAGTCCCAGCTAGTGGGAGCTCCGTCCCCAGCCCCTGTTTTGCTCCTGCCATCTCCCCTGCAGATACGGGACGCTGAGGCGATGGGCTGCTCATGTCAGACTCCGCTCAAAGCGGCCTGGCATCCAGCACTGGACCAAGGTTTCTGCTGCTTTGGTTCAGTAGGTTTAATGGCTATGGAATTTCTTTTCTTTTTTTTATTTTATTTATATATTTTTTTTGGTCCGGTTGTGGGGCCTGAACTCTGGGCCTGGGTGCTGTCCCTCAGCTCTTCAGCTCAAGGCTAGTGCCCTACCACTTGAACCGGCTTTTTTCTTTTTGCTTATGTGGTGCTGAGGAATCGAACCCAGGGCCTCAGGCATGCAAGGCAAGTGCTCTACCACTGAGCCACCTTCCCAGCCCCTTTTCTTTTTTTTTAATTATTATAATTTTATTTATTTATGTTTGCCAGTTCTGGAGCTTGAACTTAGGGCCTTGGGCACTGCCCTTGAGCTTTTTTTTTTTTTGGTCATGGGGTTTGAACTCTGGGCTGGGTGCTGTCAGTCAGCTTTTCAGACCAAGGCAAGCTCTCCACCACTTCAGCCACAGCTCCACTTCTGGTTTTCTGATACTTAATTGGAGAGAAGAGTCTCACGGACTTACCTGATGGACTGGCTTTGAACCATGATCCTCAGATCTTAGCCTCCTGAGTAGCTAGGATTACAGGTGTGAGCCACTAGCACCAGCTGGAGCTTTTTTTATTGCTTAAAGCTAGCACTCTACCACTTGAGCCACAGTGCCACTTCTGTCTTTTTCTGTTTATGTGGTACTGAGGAATCCAACCCAGGGCTTCATGCATGCTAGGCAAGCACTCTACCACTAAGACACCTTCCCAGCCCTGGGGTTACCAATTCACACGTCAGGCAATAAATTCATTTCTTTGGACATTGACACCCTTTCATTCTCCCAGTTTTTCCCTTCTGTCCCCACCCACAAGTTGTATAGTTCATTTTCAAAATAATGTCCATGAGCTGGGAATGTGGCTTAGTGGTACAGTGCTTGCCTAGCATGCATGAAGCCCTGGGTTTGATTCCTCAGTACCATATAAACAGAAAAGGCCAGAAGTGGTGCCCTGGCTCACATGGTAGAGTGCTAGCCTTGAGCAGAAGCAGCTCAGGGACAGCGCCCAGGCCCTGAGTTCAAGATCTAGGACTGCCAAAAACAAAACAAAAAAAGTAGTGTCTACTAAGTACAACTGCTACATTTGTTCACCCTTTGTCCCTCCATTTTTATGCTCCCCAAAGACAGGTAAATGAACAAACAAGACAAAAAGAGAAAAAAGTTAGGCACCATCAGCTCATGCCTGTAATCCTAGCTACTCAGGAGACTGAGATCTGAGGATCACAGTCAAAGCCAGAAAAATCCATCTCCAGGCTGGAAAGGTGGCTCAGTGGTAGAGTGCTTGCCTTGCATGCATGAGGCCCTTGGGTCAATTCCTTAGCACCACATATGCAGAAAAAGCCAGAAGTGACACTCTGGCTCAAATGGTAGAGTTCTAGCCTTGAGCTGAGGGATAGCGTCCAGGCCCAGAGTTTAGGCCCCATGACCAGCCAAAAAAGAACGAAGAAGAAGAAGCTAAGAGGGGAGATTGTGGTTCAAAGCCATCCTAAGCAAAAAGTTTGTGAGATCTACATTGCAGTTGTAAAAAGCTGGGCGTGCAGTTCTGTACCTGACATCCCAGCTATAGCAAAAGCAAATAGGAAGATTGTGGTTCAGGTCTGGGAATGGAGGAAGCAAGACCCTATTTGAAAATAAAGCAAAAAGGACTGAGGGCATGATGGCTTGAACAGTGGAACATCTGCCAGGCAATGTGAGATGGTTTTTGATCAATCATATGGCTTGACCTCAGCCTCAGGGTTAATGCCGTAGCACTTTGAGCCACAGCTCCACTTCCAGTTTCCTAGTGGTTAATTACAGACTTTCTGGCCTGGGCTGGCTTTGAACTGTGATCCTCCGATCTCAGCCTCCTGAGTAGCTAGGATTTACAGGTGTGAGTTACTGGTACCCGGCTACAAGTTAAATCTTTTTTTTTTTATTTTTTGGTCTCGGGGCTTGAACTCTGGGCTTGGGTGCTGTCTCTCAGCTCTTCAGCTCAAGTTGAACACTCTACCACTTGAGCCACAGCGCCACTTCTGGTTTTCTAGTGGTTTATTGGAGATAGGAATTTAATGGACTTTCCTGCCGGGGCTGGCTTCATACCACGATCCTCAGATCTCAGCCTCCTGAGTAGCTAGGATTACAGGCGTGAGCCACTGATACTCGGCATTTATTTTAACTTTTTTATTCTGAGGATTAAACCCAGGCCTCCTCACATATGCCAGGCATGTACTGTACCACTGAGCTACACCTTGGGGCCTTGGGCTCTTGAGATTAAAAAAACCTCCCATTTGAGTTCAAGCCCCACAACCAACCAAAAAAAAAAGAAAAGAAAAAGAAATTGATCTTCCTGTTTATTGGGCTGGGAAGGTGGCTCAGTGGTAGAGCGCTTGCCTTGCATGCCTGAGGCCCTGGGTTCGATTCCTCAGCATCACATAAGCAAAAAAGAAAAAAGCCGGAAGTGGCGCTGTGGCTCAAGTGCTAGAATGCTAGTCTTGAGCTGAAGAGCTGAGGGACAGCGCCCAGGCCCAGAGTTCAGGCCCCACGACTGGACCCCCCCCCAAAAAAAAAACAACAACAAAAAACCTCTCCCATTTGCACTGAGTTCAGGGCCAACTGGAATTTCTCCAGCTCTAAGTGGGGTTCAGGGTTCCCAATCACTTTGTGGCCAGGAAGCCTTTCAAATGTAGGGGCCCAGGAACCATTAGAAGGTGGTGGCTTCTGTGGGGAAGGGTCAGAAACAGGTGTAGCCACACGTGCAGCCAGACTCAGTTCCCATGGGGTCTGTGGCAGCCAGGAAAGAGACAAGTGCAATTAAGGCTGCCAGGAGCTGTTGGCAGAGAGACTGGTGCCCATTCTGTGGTCACTTCCTTTGCTGATTTAATCAGAAGCCACACAGCAAGGAGGATGAGAGACTGGGCAAGGGTGGAAGTATACCAGAGGACTTGAGAGGCTGGGCAAGCCTTTCTAGAACCATCTGGAAGATCCTGAGCACATGGGAGGGAGTCTGGTGCTTCTTTTACACCTCTTTGCTCTCATGAAGGTTCCAAATAGCCCTTGTCATATAGGAGTCCAGTCCCCCAAAGGGCTGAGTGAATTGGCAAGGATGATTGAAGCCCTGGAAAATCAGAGGAAGGTTCTGGAAAGAATATTGTACTCTCTTCTCCACAGGCTCAGGCTGGCCCAGAATCAAGCCAGGAGTCCCAGTCTCAGCAGGCAGGGTCCCAGATCTCTTCGAACCCCACCCCTTGCCCACTGGACACCAGCCCCCGCCGGCCCCCAGGGCCAGCCACCTCCCCCACCAACACCTCCCTCAGCAGCCCAGGTAAGGAGTGCCTGGCCATGCCATGGTGGGCCTAGGGGAGGGTCCCCCAACACCTTATCCTCCAGAGACTCACTGGGACTCTGCTTTCCAGGACAGCGGGATGATCTCATCGCCAGCATCCTTTCAGGTGGGGGCGGGGCCGCATGGTGGGCGGGGCCACCGCTGGGTGCCACCCAATCGTGTGCTCCGGGTTGTGGGTGGGGCCTGGTGGGGGCGGGGCCGGCTCCACCTCCCATCCCCCCTCCCTTTGCTCTTGCTTGGCAGAGGTGGCTCCCACCCCTCTGGAGGAGCTCCGGGCCCACAAGTCCCTCGTGAAGCTGCGAGCCCGGCAGGATCGAGACCTGCGGGAGCTCCACAAGAAGCACCAGCGGAAGGCCGTGGCCCTCACCCGCCGCTTGCTCGATGGCCTCGCCCAGGCACGGGCCGAGGGCAGGTGCCGGCCTGGGCCAGGTGTCCTGTGAGTGTCCCTTGCCTCTTGCTGCTCGTGCTGTGCGTGTGGCCAGAACATTGGAAGGCATGTGTGCTTGCAGTCTGGGTGCTAGGTGACAGGGCAGAGGGGTGTGTCCGTGCAAGGAGGGCGGATCCGGTCTCCACTCCCTGGGAGTGACACCTCTTTTGAAGTCTTCTCCCTGGAGCAGTTGCCAGATCCAGCCCCATCACCTGTGTGGAGCTAACGGTGCAGCTACTGGCCCTAGCGGCCTCCTGATTTGTATAATGCCTCCTGATTTGCATGTCTCATCTTGTGGCTGGGGCCGGCTGGGATGGGCCAGCCTGCACTGCTCTTCCCTGCCAAGGACCCAGCATCACCCAGAAGGTTCTTCCCACAGGGGTGGAGCCACTGATGTGGAAGATGTGAAGGAAGAGGAAGAGGCAAAGCAGTATCGAGAGTTCCAGAACAGGCAGGTGCAGAGCTTGCTTGAGCTGAGGGAGGCCCAGGCAGACACAGAGGCTGAAAGGAGGCTGGAGCACCTGAGACAGGTGAGGACAGGGGCAGCCAGGAAGAGCTTGCCAAGACAGCCCTGCCCTCCGCCTCTTACCCACTGGCTCCCTCTTGTCTCCAGGCTCAGCAGCGACTCAGGGAGATTGTCCTGGATGCACATACAACTCAATTCAAAAGACTGAAGGAGATGAATGAAAGGTAGGCAGAGGATCTCGCCTGTGGGTGGGGTGGGCCCTCCTGGTCGCTGGAGAAGGGCAGGTGGATTGGACCCCCCCCCCAGTTCTGCCCTTGACCTCCTTTTTGTGTTCTGACTGATGCAGGGAGAAGAAAGAGCTGCAGAAGATTCTGGATAGGAAACGCCACAACAGCATTACAGAGGCCAAGACGAGAGAGAAACATAAGAAGGAGGCGTAAGGGTGTTGGGGCCTGAAGCCCTTTGGGGGCTAGGGAGGCCGGGCGGGTGCATGGGCACTGAACCCCCCCTTCCTTGCTCCCGCAGGGAGCTGACAGAAATCAACCGGAGGCATATCACTGAATCGGTCAACTCCATCCGTAGAGTGAGTGAGGCTCTTGGGGACTGTAGCCCCACCCACTACCTTTGGTCAGCAGAACCCCTCTCTGAGCCTGAGGCGGTGCCATGTGGCCTTAAAGGGCTTCCGGAGCCTTCCTCCAGGCCTGCAGCCCGAGGCACTTGTATCATGTTGCAAGGCCAGCTGTGGGCAGCAGTGCCCTGTGGCTCACAACCCTGGGAGCCTTTACCCACTGGGTTTGTACCTAGCCAGTGAGAGCCCCCGGGCCCTGGGCCTCCCTCAGCTGAGCCCTTGCCATCCCCGCAGCTGGAGGAGGCGCAGAAGCAGCGGCATGAGCGCCTGGTGGCTGGGCAGCAGCAGGTCCTCCAGCAATTGGCAGAAGAAGAGCCCAAGGTGAGGCCCCAGGGGCAGGCTGGTGGGATGAGCTGCCTGGCCTGGCCTCTGTGACACCGTGCTCCTCCTGCAGCTGCTAGCCCAGCTGACCCAGGAGTGTCAGGAGCAGCGGGCCAGGCTGCCCCAGGAGATCCGCAGGAGCCTGCTGGGCGAGACGCCAGAAGGACTGGGGGACAGGTCCCTAGTGGCCTGTGCCAGCAACGGCCATGCGCCAGGGAGCAGCGGGCATCTGTCCGGCGCTGACTCGGAGAGCCAGGAGGAGAACACACACCTCTGAATTGGCTGAGCAAGAGGTGGCCACAGGGCCAGGGCGGGCACTGGGAAGAGGGCTGGAGAAGACACTAATGCTTCTTTTTTTGTTTTAAAACTTTTTACCTTTAGAAGTTTTTATTTTTTTAAACCTGGGGTGAGTGCCCCACACTAACTCCCTTCTTTCATCTTTCTGGGCCTCACTAGTTTCCAGCTTCTCCTTCCTAATCTCAAGTCTAGAGAAGGGGCCTGGTTGGATCCTACAACCCCATGACATGCATACTCCTATGGCATGTTCCCCTGGCTTCTCAGTGCGCTGGGTGCAGACCCAGAGCTCTGGGCGGCAGGGGGAACCACGTTTCTTCTCCATTTTTGGGATTTTTTTTTTTTTACGTAAATAAAAGTGGATTTCAGGGATTCTGTGTGCAGTTTGGTTCAAGGTAAGAGGACTTTGGGTCCACGTGTGGCTCTGCTGCTCCTTTGTGAGGCCTTAAGTTCTTCAGGTACAAAATGGGCTGTGGCATGGCAGCCAGACCTCCAGCAGAGCTGCTGGTTTGAATCTGAGCCCCTTGCCCAGGGTTTGCAGTGGTTCTGGCTGTTCCTCCCCAACACCCTCCTCCCTTCCAGGCTCTCATGGGTCTCCTTGGCAGAGGCTCAGGCTCTGCTTCGGGAAGCCTTCCCTGACCCCTTCCTGTTGCTTGATATAACCCAAACACCCAGAATCATCCACTGGGGCCTCTGTTGACGGTATCAGGGATGGGTGGGCTGAAGCTGGGCTTTCAGAGATGGGTGGAAAGGGGATCTACCCAGGACCCCTGGGTGAAGGGAAGCGGATAGTCCCAGGCGTTGCGGAGATTAGGACACCTTGTGTCCCCCTCATCCCTGTGAAGGAGATGATGTGCCTGTTTTACAGATGAGCAGACTGAGGCCTCAAACAGACTGCGTATGCTGGGTCACAGCTAAGTGGAGGTGTCCTGCCCTGAAGGCAAGGTGGCTCGGTCTCTGTGGCAGACTGTCTTCAGCCATCTGGGAGGAACTGCTCCAGGCTGGGGACCAGAGGAGCTACAGAGACCCTCTCCCCTTCTCCCCCAGCAGCCCCTGCAGTGAGGAGGGCAAGGCTGGGCCTGGCAGCAGGGCCAGGCTGGCATCTCTTCAAGGCCTCTCCCAGCTTCCTGGCGTTGGGGCTGCTCCCTGCAGAGGAAGGCAGCGTCTTATCTGGGCTTATCTCTTGCCAATGGAGTGTTTGCTTTTCTTTGTTTTTGCTGTAGCTGGAGGCCAACCGATGGGTGGGGAGACCCCAGAAAGGCCGTCAAAGTTGGGCCTTCCCTGTGTGGGGACTTCTGCCTTAGGCAGAGTATCATTGGCTGAGCATTCCTCCTACTGTCAAACCTCCTGGGTCTCTCCCACATCCAGGCCCCTGGGTAGTGGGCTCCCATCTTCCTTACTGGCCGGCCTTTACTTATCCAAACTCTATGGCTCCAAAGATCCAGCTAGGGCTGGGAAGGTGGCTCAGTGGTAGAATGCTTGCCTTGCATGCATGAAGCCCTGGGTTCGATTCCTCAGCACCACATAAGCAAAAAGAAAAAAGCTGGAAGTGGCGCTGTGGCTCAAGTGATAGAGCACTAGCCTTGAGCTGAAGAGCTGAGGGACAGTGCCCAGGCCCAGAGTTCAGGCCCCACGACCAGACCCCCCCCCAAAAAAAAAAGATCCAGCTAAACTCCAAACTTATAGGTGTGCCTCTGCGCCCCCTTAGCAGCCTTGCCTCTGCTGGTTTCCTGTCTCTCCTTTGGTCCATTCTTCTTCCTGGGCAGAGGCTGAGGTCCTGTCCCCCTGGAGTCGCGGTTCTAACTCCAGTCCTCCCCACAGCACCCTTGGACTCCTCCGCTGGAGGCAGCTGCCCCCTCTCTGGTCTTGGGAAGCTTCCTCCAGCTGGACTTGTGGCGCATTTCATCTGTACACCCGGCACGAAGCACTGGCCTGGGCTACAGGGGCGCCAATAAATCTTTTGGAACTGAGCGAGCCCAGCTCGCTCTAGGTCCGGTTGTGAAGCTTCTTGGTTCCCTAGCGACCCCGCGCCGCCCCCGCCCTGCTCGCCGGGCCAGGTCCCCAAGCAGCGCTGGCCCCAGGCCGGCCACACAGTAGCTGCTCGCAGGACTGACCCAGATAGGAACAAGTGACCCCCCCTGGGGAGCCGCGGCACAGTTTGGGTTTGTAGAGAATTCCAGCGGCCAGCAGGCCAGCGGCGCCCAATTACCATATTAGAGATAAGGGTCTGGCAGTCCCTGGGGCGGGTCGGTCTGAGTCCTTGGATGTCACCCAAAAGGAATTTCAATTTCCCTCATCCATAAATCCAGGACATGATCAGAGACTTAGCTACTCAGGAGGGTGAGATCTGAGGATCAGATCGCGATTCAAAGCCAGCCCCGGGCAGGAAAGTCCTCCTGAGACCCTGATCTCCCATAGACCACTCACAAACCGGAAGTAGTGCTGCGACTCAGTGACAGAGCCCTCGCCTCGAGTACAAAGAGCTCAGGGATAGCGCCCAGGCCCCGAGTTCAAGCCTCGCGACCTACCCCCCCCCCGCATCCGTGATAGTGTTTTCCTGGCCCGCAGAACCCCACGCGACTGACGGGCCACGCAGCGACACAGGCACGTAATTTATTAGCACGTTAGTGGAGGGCGGAGCCGCAGCGCCGCGGGACAGCGGCCCGGCGGAGGAATGGTTAATCTCAGCTAGAGACTTGGCAGAGACGCTCGCGGTGCCCGCACGGGAGGGCGGGACCAGCGACCGCTTCCGGTGCCCGTGGACGTTAAAAACTTCCAAACTTCCGATGGGAGCCACCCCTGCGTGGCTCTCGATCACACCGGAAGGGAATCCAGCTCTAGGTCAGAACCCGTCTTTTAGCACAAGGCCTTCGGAAGTGACTTCCGCCCATACCCAAGATGGCAGCCGTCAGGAGATGGTGGAGCTCCGGGAAGGGGACAAAAGGTCACTGAGAAGGGGCGGAGCCTCGGCCCAAGTTCCGGTCCCACCAAGACTGGAAGATGCGCGTCCAGCTGGAACTCTGCCTCATCTGCGTGGCGGTGCCCGCGCTTTTGGGGCGAGGAAGTCCCTGTGGGGTAGGAGTAAAGTCTTAGTGGGTTCGCTGTCCTGCCGCTTAGGAGGCGATGAAGACCACGGCTCCCAGCATGCCCTGCAGTGAGAGGTCAGGAAAGGTGGAGAAGACGCTCGGGCACCTCCTAGGGACTGGGCAGGAGAGAACTTGAAACCTCCGTGCTGGGGACCGCGACGCCTAAGACCTCAAGTAGAAGCGCCAGAACCAGACGACCTGGTTCCCAGAAGGTGGGGTAGCAGTTTAAGATCTGACGGCGCCCTGGAGCTGGGCTGAAGAACTCCAGGCATCTGAACGTGAGCCTCGCGCTCCAGGAACCTGGGCAGCTTGCGAGCTTGGGGCGGGGGTGGGGGGCGGGCGCGGGGGGGAAACCCAGAGATTCGCTAGAGACCTGAGGGGGGGTGTGTGTGTGTGCTGGGACTACAAGACCCAGAATGCCCTGGGACCCCCCCCCCCAGAGCAGCAGGCTCCTCTTGGACGCAGAACGAACAGACCCACGGGAGCTGATGGGCAATTTCAGAACACCTCGGGAGGACTGGTGGGTGGTGGCCAGGGACTGGAGAAGTTCCACAGAAGCGCACGCGCGCGCTCGGCGGGAGGGAGGGTGGGGAAGCAGTGGTGAATGGGAGGTGGCTTAGAACTACAAGTCCCGGCATGCCCCTGGACTGGCGCTCACCTTAAAGGAGCCGTCAAACTCGTCACTCATCCTCCGGAGCTCGCGGCCATAGCGCCTGGCAGCCCAGAGATTTGGGGGAGCCGAGCGTGAGCGACCCCGAAAGGGGCTAGGCTCCTCTTCCAGCCCTTCATCCTCCTCCATCCCCGCAGGGTATGAACTATGGCGACTCCTGGTCTCCACAGCCCCAGCACCTGCAAAAAGGGTGAAGGGACCGAAAGTGACACGCCTTCCTCCTTGCTCTCCGTGCTGCCTGGCCATCCCCCGCGCACAGCGCTGCCGGCCTCTTAACAGTGCCTGTTCCCTCCTGAACAAACGAAGACAAGCTCGGGGCACTGCTGTGCCTTGGCCTGCGGCCTGAACTCAGGGCTTCGTACTCCCATGGCTTCTTTTTCTTGCTCCAGGCTGGCACTCTACCACTTGACTTGAGACTCTTGGATTTGTCTACCCAGGATGGCTTCAAACTTTGATCCTGATTTCTCTGTCTCCTGAGTCACTAGGATTATAGGCATGTGCCATGGGTGCCTGGTTGGACCAAATCTGTGGAGTATAATAATAGTCTTCTTTGTGCCTACCACCAAATAAGATCACACAGGTGTGAAGTTCCGGGGCTTACAAGTCCCCAGATTTGGTGGAATCCAGAGTTTATCAGGCTGCACACTTCTTCCTTGGCAACCACCCTTCAACTCCCTAAAGCAGTGTATTCTCCTCTTGGACAGCACAGTCCCATCCCTTAGTTCTCCTAAGCGCTGTGAAGGGCCTGCTCTGGGCCCAGGTGTATTGTGGGTCATAACTCAGTGACCTTTACAGTGGTCCCTTCGTCTATCTGGAGAATCATGCGCATCTTCCACTTCTGTGCTTCTCTGCCCAGAGCCAATTCACACGCGTAACCTTACTCCTGGAAGCAGAAAATCCAGAGCTAAGGAACACAGTGAGAGCCAGGGAAGGCCCGCAGAGTACACAGCCAGTTGTGTGCTGCAGAAGGCTTTAGGAAGGAGATATGATTTTGGAGCTGGGGGAAAACACAGGATGTCCTCAAAGGCCTTATGCCTAGAGCCTGCAGATCAACTACTGGCCCTTTTTTTTTTTTGGGGGGGGGTGGCCATGAGGCTTGAACTCTGGGCCCAGGCCCTGTCCCTGAGCTCTTCAGCTCAAGGCTAGTGCTCTACCACTTGAGCCACAGCGCCACTTCCAGGTGGTCCCCAACAGTTAGGTTCCTGCTGTGGATGTTCCATTCTCCTATCTCTCAAGTCCCCTAGGAGAAGCCGGGCGCTGGTGGCTCACGCCTGTAATCCTAGCTACTCAGGAGGCTGAGATCTGAGGATCGCGGTTCAAAGCCAGCCCGGGCAAGAAAGACCGTGAGACTCCTATCTCCAATAAACCACCGGAAAACCGGAAGTGGCGCTGTAGCTCAAGTGGTAGAGCGCTAGCCTT